ATTAGACGGGTGAAAGGCCATTTGTTTCAACCGCCATTTTAGGCAATATTGACTTTTATACATCTATACTATTATAATAAAGCGTAAACACACACTTCTTTGTTGCCTAAGATGTCAGCAATCACAGCATATTTTTGAATGATTATTTTTATCCTTGCGTCACGCTTTAGGCTATATTTTAACGCCATTAAACTTAGGGGTTAAATGTTTTGGATAAAAACCCTAATGTGGGAAAGAGACCATAAGTTGCTGCCAACATCTAAGAAGCAAGGTCGTCATCATGTCTTGTCATATGTAATTGATAATTTGACAAATGTAAACAATGAAATAAAACTTTCATAACTTCATGCGGATGAAGTCGCACGGGAACAGCTAGTATGAAATAAATACATAAAGTATGCAGAATTACAGTAATTTTAATCTGCAGGATTTGCTTCTATGTTTTTTTTTTAAATGAAAACTTTAAATGGTTCTCGTGAACATTTAACTTTAAACAAATAGCCTTAAAACAAATAGCCTTTCAACCATCGATATGATTGCCAGCAGACTGGATTGTAGATATAATAATCCCTGCATAAAGCTGCATGTGGAAGCAATAATTTTACATTTTAAAAAAATAACACAGGTATTAAGATTTTTCTGTTACTAAACTATGAGCAAAAAAAGAAGTGTAGCTCGAAATAAAATGTATTATTATTAATACAAGTGCACTCTTCTATTAGTCGTGCCAATTAATTAAAACTAAAAATTGAAAATAAACAGAACACAAATAAAAGGCAAAATAAAACTTACTTAAAAAAGAAACCTCTAGCGAACTCAACAAGCGGTAGGAGGAACAAAGATACGAGGGAGTCTAAAAGCACCAGCCGGTACGCCTCGCGGCCCAGCGCGCTCTCCCAGCACTGCAATACGCACCGTGGAAACCAACCTTAATGTAACCTCAAATACATGGGCAACAGTGGACTGAATACTAATGAACTAACACGAACCATTATCCACGAAAGTTGACATCAGTTAGAGTCGTAGTTGAAAGCTGGTTAAATCATCAACAAGAAAAGACAAATATGCGAAATCCTACGGAAGCATTGCCTTTTGAGTGTTCTATCAGAAATATTGCCCAGGTATGTTTTTTTATTAATAATATAAGGTAGCAAACGAGCAAGCGGCCACCTGAACCCACCGAAATGGAAAGGGACCGCTGCACTTAATTGACAGAGGAGACGGACATAAAATTTCCCCTTCCTATGCGTCTCCTCCACCGTCAAATCCACTTTTCCTTCCCATACTTTCCTCATAAAAACAAGTAGAAAGGAAAAGGGACTAAAATTAGGCCTCCGGCACCACACTCATCAGACGAAACGCGGAATTGCTTCCTCTTCATTCCTGTCTTCTGTGTGATCGTGGTATTACTGGGGGCGAGCCGGCCCTGCAGTGCGAAGATGTTAAAGCGGGCTCTACCACGGTTATTGTAGAACAACTTTATTTTGCTACTAGATTTTGCCAGCGATTACATCTGGGTAATTTAATAAGTAGCGTATATTCTACATTTGAGATAAATTTTATCAACATCCGTGGAGCCGTTCTAGAAATTCATGCTTTCTAACAAACATTCTACCTATCTAAACTTTTGTTTGGGCATTAGTAAAATAGTAAGATAAAAAAACAAGAATTTACACAGATATATAGACACAAGTAAATTTAAAGATGTCTCTACTGCATTGTAACATGTATTTTGAAGTAATAAAGATTAAAAGTGTAAACATACTGGCGTGTCGGAGTGTGTCCAGTAAACCAGCAGCATAGTCAGTGTGCTGATGTGCAGCAAGCCAGTGCGGGCCAGTGTCACGTAGAGTGCGGTGCGCGTTTTGTAGTACTCCATTCTGAGACACGGATGGACATGAAATAGTCAATCTAGACTTGAAGGGGAAAGATTTCTATTTTTGTACTAGCTTTTGTCCGCGGACCCGATCGCGTGGAATTAAAAAAACAAAAGTGTAGCCTGTGTGTTTTCCAGATTATTCTCTACATCTTCAACTTTCATCGAAATTCGTTCAGCTGTTTAGGCTACAAACTCCAACAAACATCCATCCATCCATCTATACTTTCGCATTTATAATATTAGTATGAAGTATAACGTATTCAAAATACAAAAGCTACTTGGCCGATTTCAATTCTTTAACCATTAAAACGCTACGTTATCTATAACTAACATAAGCTACGTTTTGTAAAATCCACGCAAAGTCGCGAGCAATAGCTAATTAGAATGAGACTCACTTAACAATCAAATTGAACAGCAAGGGGCAGAAAGAGACAACAAATGTGATAATGAGTGAGACGAATATCTCCCAGTGCTGTATGTCAGTGTCCAGCG